CTAAAGATCTATTTAAGAGCCAGGCAGCAAGTATTGATTGCTGTGTGGAACAAATACCATAAGTAAATGGGTGGAGTCTTGTCAGAGGCTGTTCAACTTTATGATAATCAGGGAAATTTGCAGAGATGAAAATTGAAATTCTGCAGCTGTGATTGCTTAAACTATTTCTGAAGTATATTATTATGAGGTAAACACAAAAAAATTGCAAACCATGTTGTTAAAATAATTACAGATTTCAAAATATAAGATTATTTATGAATTATATTTAAATCATTTTGCCCTACTTTTTTAAATAAGAGTGACTCACAAAAATCATTAGAAAAAGGTACCATGGCCAGGAATGCAGCTGCCTAACTATGTTATTGGGAAAAGGTTTAAATTTATGTAAATACACATTCAAGAAATGTTAGGTTCTTTTGATGTACACTTACATACATTTAAAAGTTTAAATGTAAATATATCCAGAATGCTGCAGCACATTACTGACTGAAATTATTATTAGAGAATGTAAATTCCCCATTATAACAGCTTTTTTGGAAAACATATATATTTCTGGGCACCATACAAAATGCTAGCTGTGATTTGCAAAGTACTACATGATTTGGGAATCAGTCAAGAGCACATTCTCTTCTATTAGCTTGCCTAGATTTCAAAGGCATTGAGAGTTCTTTCCTGCCCACCATCAGTAAAAACCATTTAATGACACAGAACTCCTTGCTAGAATAGGTCATGCTCCATCTGTCTTTGATCTCTTTCTGCCACATTTCAAAAGCGTGCTATTTAAATAGGCTTTTGTTAACTTGAGTTTTAATCAGTTTATTGAAATAGGTTTCAAGAAATAAGGGCTGTTTTTTTAAATTTTAACTATGCATCTTTCAACGTCTGCTTTTAAATAATCATGTTGTGCTTGTTAGTTTCCTCAAGCATGGTTTATAGTGGAAAAGCAAGATGTATATTTAATGAGTAAATAAATAATTTGCATATTCCATTCTTTAGTGACCTTCAAAAAACGCTTTGGAAATACTTCAGTTAAAGCCCTCCTGTCATGTGTGAAAGATGAAGACCACACATGAAGTTCCAGTTAAACTGCTTATGCACAGGAATCTACTCAACTAACAGTAGCCACTATCTTGGTGCTAGTTTAAGGGTCAATGGGATTCAAGAGGGGTTGGACTTAGTCTGTTTGTGGTTATATAGAGATTCTAGGCTGATTCCTCTTTTGACTTCACGCCCAGGTTCTGCCACTCCTTCTCTTATACTTCCTAAGCAATTTGAATATGAGAAATTGTGAATATTAATTGAACATAGGGATCATAGCCTCAGCCCCATCCTCTACCCTCTCCATTTTCCAAGTGCTAATCTTAAGGAGATTTACAAACATATAGCCAGCTCTCTCCAATTTGAAAGCCTAATGAAGTAGATCCAATGATGTGAAGAACAAACTGAGAATATCAGTTGTTACCAGGACAAGGGGAGTTAAAGAACAAAATTCAATGTAGCACTTAGATGTAAGCAGTATCATCTATGTGTGATCCTGAAAAGTTCAGCTTCTTTATTCTATTTATTTTCAAAGAAATAGTTTAATCAACCAACCACAATACTATTATTACTCTTTTGGTTTCTGTGGAACTTTCACATGCTAATACCTGTTACCCCTTTAACGTTTTTCTTGTCACCAAGTTCCTTCTTCATGAGATTGTTGAACAGCAGTAAATTAGTTTTGAGGAAAATTAAGCAAAATTCATAGAGTACATCTGTTACCATTATAATAGTATAGTCATTTAATATACAGAAGCAATATATTTCTGTATAAAACATAGAATAAAACTTAGAACAACAAAACCAAGAAATGGTTACCCAGTGGAAAGGCTTCCTTTCAGAAGTTGTGGATATTCCATCACTGAGGGCTTTTAAGAAGAGATTGGATAGTCATTTGCCTAAAATGTAATAAGGTCTCCTGCTTGAGGAGGGGATTGTGCTAGAAAACCTCTAAAGTCCCTTCAAACTCTTTTATTCTGTTAAATTATGTTAAGTGCCACAATCAAATGTTTTTGGCAAGAGCTCAGTCTTCAACATCTTCCAGAAGATGGCTATGATATGGGCAGATCTATTGAATATGACTGCACAGTTGAGAAGATTTGAGGAGGCTTTCAAAATCCAACTAATCTGAAGATCATAGCTATGGGCTATTGCAGAGAAAGTCCAAGAATCAAAGCAGCACTTAATTTTTGTATGCATGCTAGAAATAATACTGTCATGGCCCTAGTGGAGACTGACTCTGAGGGAGAGGAGGAACAGCCGACAGGGAGTGGAAGTGTGGCTCCGGAGGTTGTGGAGGAGGCTGGGGAAGGGCAGAGGGCAGCTGGGCAGCTGTTGCCTGGCTTGTGGTTGTTGTTTTTTTACTCTTTATAATTTAAACACCATTCCCTCCTTCTTGTAACTGCTTGTGTAGTTTTTTGTCCCCAGTCAAGGATATTTGTAGTTTGGAAGCAAAGTGAAGGAATAAAAGGGGCTTTACCTGTTTTTGTGACTGTGTTTATTTTGTATCCCACCCTGGGTCATCACAGATACCTTGTTAATAATAATTTCCCTTATGCTTTCCAAATGATGGTCAGCAGGAATAAATTTGAAAAATTGCAATGGTGTATTGTATTCTTAAAAAACTGATGGTGTGACATTTTCAGTAACGTCCATTACATATTAGATTTTGGAGACTAAGCCAGACCAAAACGTTTTGAGTTTTTATTTAAATAACTGTTTAAAGGAAATAAATAGGATAGAAAAAGTCCCTGCAAAGGACTTCTCTGTAACTGGCAGAAGAGGGCATGATATGTGTGGAATGAAGTGCTAAAGGGTAGAGGGTCACAGCTGTACCAAAATCAAAAGATTTAAGTGACCCAGTAAATGAATTGGTAAATTGATTTAAATGTGAAAAGGTGCTAAAGAAGTAATTTAGTAAATGTCAAAGGAATCTGCAGGGAGGAAGGAAATGTGGTGCTTTTGAAATAATTTCCCAGAAGCTTCATAAAAGAGAGTTGATTGCAGTGATTTAGTAAACAACCCCCCCAAAATATAGTAATCAAAAGATTTTAAAAGTTATATCTCAGGCTGTGTATTTTGTATCTAGAAAACCGGAGATCAATGCTTTAGTAGTCAAATTATTTTTAAAGGCTAATTTCTACAAGATGTATTGTAGAATGCTTAATTAAAACACACAAATAGAGTTTAAATATCAAAAGAGCCTCCGAATAAGGACATTTTATGCCTTGCACATAAAATCTACCCTTTTGAGGTATTTCTAACCCAAATGCCATCTGATTCAAGTATATATCAAATGGCAGTATTTTAATAATGTTACATCATTATCTTACCACTGTTCTATACAATTAATTTCTTGTAGTATACTTATAACTGAAAATCAACTATCTCCTTCATTTTTTTAAAATTCACTTTTAATAGCCAAGAGGAATAATGATGTTGGGTTAACTAACCATTGTGTCTTACAAATACACTTCACTAGAAACAGGCGAATATGCTAATTAATCAATCATATAAAAAACATATAAAGTACATTGAATCATCATTTATATGAAGGTAAGTTATACTAAGGTAACTAAAGTAAGGTAACTTTAGTACTATATTAAGTTATATTTAGAAAGAATATCACACTAAATAAAAGCCAAGTTCATGTAGTCCAACTATATTTTTTCATAAACAATATGGATTTCCCATTGTGATCTCTCTCTCAATTTGTTGCAGAATATTTCGGCATCCCATAGTAGCAGGTTTTGTTGGTGTGCTGAAAGCCATTTCGTTAGTAGGATATCATCCAGTGTTTCTCAACCTCAGGAACTTTAAGATTATTGGGCTTCAACTCCCAGAATTTCCCAGCTAACATGCTTGATAAAGTTGAGAAACACTGATTTAGACTAAGAAGGCTATCCTTTCTAACTTCTTAAACTGTTTCCTATTCCTCATTTACTTGATAGGAGTCACGTGCTTAACTGCTAATACAAGCCTTCCAGCATTGTAAATACAGCTAGGCCATTTTGAATGTAAAAGTAAAAGTAACTGCACTTGGGAAATTTTTCAGAGGAAACAAAACCTACCAGTGCCTCTTAATTTCCTAGGGCTATGCAAAATATTTCAAAGAGGCAGTTTCCAAAGTCCCTGAAGCCTCAAAGGTGTCCAGAAGACTTGGCACACCTACTTCACAAAATTTCTGTTCTTAATCTCTGCATGTGTATTCACACACTGATTACTTTGCATATTTACACATAACCGGAGACGTGGGGAAAGTCTTTGAAAAAAAACATACTGAGGCATTAGACCTACTTGTGTCACATCATGTAATAAATGGGCATGAGAATATAGGCCATGTGCTTACACACTCCCAAACTCATCCTTGCAAAACACCCAAGTTGCTAAACTTCCTTGACTCTTGAAGTAACATTTTGTTGCTAGGCTTCTATATAGCCTACCAGCCAGCTAGAGAGTTACTCCATGGCCAAATACAGAACATGTTGCCCATCTTTATTTATTACAACGATTAGAATAAAACTAAGGCTGGGGAGTCCTTGGACAAATATCTAATTGGCTTCAGGGTTGGACCATCTTTGGCCAAATGCTCTCACATAATTTATCTTGACATTTTTGTTAGAATAGAGTGGAAAAACTAGAATAAAGTAAAAAAAAATGACAGCCTCAATCTCAAGATGTGACAAGAGACTAACTGCTTGTTTAGATAAAACATTTTTAATGGTTGCTTTATCTCATTTTTCACCAGGACATGTTAGCTATCTCCCTGTCTCCTTCAGGATTTCTTTTAATGTTTTAAAATATGTTGTGCAACAATACTCTCTATTAAATGCTCTAGAAGAGAGTCTCTCCCATGGAGTCTTGTGAGCAAACCAAACCAAGCAAATATTCCATTTTATCTGAACTGGAACCAACATCTTAACTAATAATTCACAATTGCTTCTTTTGTGCTTTCTCTTCAGGCCTTAGTGAAAGTGAATGGAAAATTGAAGCCTATGCTGGATTCTGTGGTGGCCAACAGAAAAAAATGGGAGGAATTGCACCAGAAAAGATTGCTTTCCCAGACAACATCCAACTTAGCTATGTCTCTGGAGAGCATAAAATAAGTCTACATCTGTTTCCTGTTCCTAGGATAAGAGAGTCAAAAAAAATGCTTAACGTTTTGTCTCATAGTATTTAATTAATAATATAAGACAGGCAAGAACATATGTAATGTCAGTGAAAATATACACCAGCTGGCCAAGCCTTAGCTTTTTCTACAGGCCAACATTTGGTCTGAAGGGAGAATCTACAGGGAAACAGTTGGATTCCTGCAGTAATCTGGAAAGCTTGGCTGAGTCTGGATCCTGTAGCTTCTTTCAGCAACAAGAAAATGGGCAAATATGGTCCTAAAGGATTCATATAAGTGGAACTCATGGTTCAGTAAAATTAATAAAAGTGAGCTGTGGCTGATTTAAAAAATACCGAAGCATCTTCAAGAGACATTGAAAAAAGGGAGAATTTTTGTAAAAATATTTTGAGATTGCACCTTTCCAGCTTTTATTAGTATGAATGGTTATTCCTGCGCTTGTGAAATTTGTCTTTTTACCCCTTTTATGTTCTATTTGGTTTGTTCAGAGAAGCCTGCTTTATATTCTGAAGAAATACGTTTTTTACACAAGCCTCATAGGATTCAACAGGGCTTTTAGAATTGTCTCTCTTCGCTGTATTTAAGGAAGGGAAAATGAACTTTATTACATTTAAAAAGACAAACCTGCTCTGCTTCCTTGATTTCATATTAGCAACCAAATTTGAATTGCTCTGCAGGCAGAAGCTTATATAAAGGTAAATTTCTGCATGATTCTTTTAGAATTCTGTAATGATTTCATTTGTACAGCTGCTTTGCACATCTAAGAAGAGAACCAGTGGTATATCAAGAAAACTGTGTAACAAAAACAAAACCTTGCCTTGGATAGAGAACTTGCACTATAGGATATGAACGTAGCTTTCTAGTACATTTTCAGAAAATTATTTTTAAGTCTGATATGACACAAGATGATATGAAAAGAGCAATGACTACCTCTGCTTTTTCTAGCTATTTTCTTATACATGTTAATAATTTATTTTAGCTAACAGAAATTAAGTCACCATTGCATGTGCTCCAATTATTATTTTTTGCATGTTGGCAATCCTTGACTTATAAAATATCCACAGAGATGTCTGCAGTTGAAATGAACTCACTTCTGTTAATGAAACGTCAAATTTATTTCAGCACCGGCATGGCAAGTTACTGGATTTCTATTCCCTAATGAGGTGTGGAATTACATCTATATTCCATTCTCATTGCCAGTGTGGTCTATAGATAAATTGTGCTTGCCCCAGGAAGGATGTTGTACACATGTCTAACCACAACCCAGTCAACACTTACTGAAAAGGTTTGTGAGCTAAGAACACCTGAGTCCAAACAATTTGCATGCCTAACATGACAGTCTTTGTCATATGAATTGACATGTGGTTGGGATTACTCTAGGTTACTGGCACTTCCCAAAGTGCAAGAACAAAGGGTCTGACGAAGATGGCTGGCTATAATTTCTGCTACCCTAATAAATCCCTGCCAAAGATCATTTGGAAGTAAAAGTTCTGTAGATACTCAGAAGAATCCTTACAGAAGAAGATGTTTGTAAGAGCAATATTATTGCACCCCTTCCCTTTCAGAACTTAAAAGAATTTAGATCGCACAAAAGACTGGACTTCTGAAGGAAAAAAAAAGTGAAAATGATATAATGCTATCAGAAAGTGCCTGGGTTAAGTCAATTTATGAGAGCAGTTGAAACAATAATGAATAAAAGCATAATAGAGAATCAGAATTTTATATAGTTCTTTCACAGCAAAGAATCATGGTTGGAACTAAAAAGCACTCTCCTGAATTTACAGGAATAATTTTAAGGACAGAAGACTCACAACTCCCATCTCTGCATTTGAATCTCTGCAACTGAATCACTTGGTTTGAGGTTGGTAGGAACTTGATAGTGAAAGCTGGGGTGCTCTGAGGGATCCCTTTATCATTTTCTTGTAACTGAAAGGTTCTGCATGGAGTGTGAAAGGGAGGAGAGGATTTATGTCAACTGCAACAGTGGCATTTTATTATTTAACAGAAATGAGCGGCCCAACATAATTATTTTAGGGGGCATGTTCAAGGGCGCTAAGTGTGATCATGTGGAAATGAACTACTTCTGTTAGTGTAGCCAAACCTCTGGCTCTGCCAAGCCCTGCTACAGGATAGGGAACCCAACACCTTCCATAAATTATAAGTTACAACCACCATGGTCTTGGTGATTGAGCTGTGGTCCAAACAACTAAAGGACACCAAAATGCTTAGCATGTTAAATGTGACAAGGCTCTCCCAACATTTTTCAAGGGTAGAAAAAAGAAGCTGATGTCCCCGAGAGCTGGATGGAAAAACATTTGACTTGATATTCTCTCTCACTATGGTTTAGGACTTCCAACCTTGAACATTTCACAGATAGACAGGAAGGACATGGTTCTGCAAAGGTTCTTTTTCATTTCCTCACTCAGGAAACCTATAGTATAGTTAGGGAAGGGTAATCTCTACCTATCTATACCTTTTGTTTTAATTCAAAATTTAATTCAAATCACACTGCTAACATCTTAATTACAATAGTGTTCTCTTCTCCTCTCCATCCATATCACATTTCATAGTTCCTGGAAGTTTATTAAATGCTTGTCAAGCTTCTGAGGGAATTTTAAAACATTGTTTTTTCTTAGTACTGGCAAACTTTATTGAGACTCTCGAAGTGAATAGAATCTTTTAGCCTAAAGTTAACTATATTGTTGTAATGGAATTTTTGCAATTACACCTATCAAGATTTAGGCAAGAAACCATTTAAATGCTGTGAATCCATCACGAATTTGCTAAAGAAAAGTACAAGCAATAGATAGGATGGCTGCTTTTCAGGAGTTGTATTTCAAAACAATGACTAAGGAAAGTATTTTCCATCACCTCATATAAATTACAGTGCAGATCTATTGAATGATAATGTATAGGTAAAACACTGATAGATGTTAGTAGGTGAAGCCTGTCACTGTTTACTTTTTTAAGTAAAATGAAAGCATTCACCAAAATAGAATCTGTCACACTGCAAAAGGACTTCCTATGTAAAATTATTTCAAATATTTCTTGGTTCCAAACATGCATATAAAAATATTTGGGAAATATGCCTTTCCCGAACACTATCAGGAAACTATACACACGTATAAACATGTACATATATATGAAACTGCATAAAAAATAGGGATTCTCATTTTTTTAAAAAAAACTAAAACACATGAAATTAAAGGAGCATACTAAGACATGTTTGTGATACCAGCCTAGCCCAGGTGTGAACTATATATACAACTGAACTATATATACAATGGAGAGAATTTCCTTTGGCATAAACAGAGCAGATGGAATCATTTGCCTCTAAAATGTTATACACCTAATATAAATTTGCTACTTTTCAGTTAAGCAAAGCTGGTATAATCATAAAAGAGTAGCTTTTCTCTGACTAGGAATGTTAGTAACCTTGGCACTTTGAACAGCACAAATGCATGCTGACCTGTATTATACATATTTATTACATATAGAATTTTTGAGTCACAGAACTACCTGACTCAAATAAATGCAAGATCGTCTTGAAAAACACTTCAAATAGAATATAATTGTAATTGAAACATTATAGTTTTTCCTTTTATAGGGAATTAATTCTGATTCTCTGGCAGGTACTCTAGATATCTGCCATCTTCCACATAAACATCTAAGCACAAGATTCAGAAATCAGATTATCTATTGTATCACCCATTTTCAAATAGTAGCATTTTGTATTTCTAGGAACACATGACAAACCATCTGAATCCTAAGTGTAATCTAATCTGATCTCTACAACACTTTATCATATTAATGAGATACGTGGATCCCATAACTAGACTCGATCCATTTTTAAAAGCTTTCTCCCAACACTGGTTTTAGTACTATTCACTTTTGATGAAGTCTTCTGGAGAAATTGAAAGCTGCTCCCTTCTGTGACATTTTCAGTCAATTATAATGCAAATGTAACCCCACTCTCAATATTTTAGAGGAACATGTTACTTGAACAAAATACAAGATAATGGAACTTAATTATTTTTCCAGAGGGAACAGGACATGTAAGGGAAAGGAAAGATCTATGTTATTGTCTAAAATAAATACTTGTAGTCTTTTAACTTGTTTCTGTTATTCCTCCACCATTTCCCTCTTTTTCCTCCTCAGTAATAAATAAAAAGGTGGGATGGCATACTTGGAATTTGTCTGAGGCTTATTTATGTAATATGTGCTTTATGGCAAAAGACAGATACCATGATTGACTGGGGGTTGCTGGCAGCTCCATAAAGCTTTCCTGAATTTTGATACGATGCACTGCGAAGTGTGACATAATTTATAGCATGTAACCTCCAGCTTCCTCCAAGGTTGAGTGTTCCCTTGTTTCCTCCGCTTTTTATTGGCTTCAACACATCGTTGCCCATGGCAACAGCAGTGGCAGTGAAGGGAATGCAGAACCATTGCAACTGACATACACTTGAGGCCCTAACAATGTCAACCATCCATCACAGACTTATTTGTAATTGCCTCCATCTATTTCCCATGTCTCATGCTATCTTTTCTATTGTGGCTCAAAATTCAAAAACTTGCTGACTAATATTGTGGTTCCAATGCTCCCCAGTGTCTCCATTCCCTTCCCCCAATTCCAACACAATGTCTCCTGACGACTAACACATTTAGGCATAGAGAAGCATCTCCTCCTCTTCAAAAATTTAAACAAACTGTACGGTCACAAGGACTTCATGGATATGGAGGTGATGGTAAATTGTCCAGTGGTCCATGTAGAATCTACTTTTAAAAGCTCAAAGCTCCTTTTAATTTTATAGAAGTAGAGTCTTCTATTCCTTAAGTTCATTTCTAGGGAATATTTTGGGGTAGATAGCTCCTAGCATTACCTACCCCAACACATTCCATAATTTGTATTTTTTTTCCTAAACAGAATGCTTTGGGTTTCTAATGAAAGGGAGACTTCCTAATGGAAATGGCCTTACTTTGGATCCCTATAAAACTGCCGTGGGAGGCAGAACATGAGAAAATTAAAACCATTTCAGAAATCTCAACCCCAACCTACACTAAAGCGTTCCCCCCCCCCAAAAGAATCCATAAATTGTTGGCCAGAAAATGATTTGTGTGAAATTTTACTGAGGAAATTCTAAGCCACATCTGGAAAACCCCAAATGGGGAAGGTTCAATTGCACTGTGTTTTACATTAGACATGGGCACTAATGTTTAAAATGCTTTTATTATTGACCATAATGACTTCTAAATACAGAGAGATGGGCAAAATTTAACATTTAAAACATTTTTGTAATCTTATTCAAAAAAAAACCTGTAGGAAAGAGTTGCCTGAACAATTGTTGACATATATTCTGACACTATCCCAATGCAGCCCATAAATACTTATTTGGCCATAAAAAGGAAATTGCCAGCCAAATCTACTAAGCTTATTGGAAGATATATACTATTACCTGAAAAAGAAAATGAGAAACAGTCATTGAACATTCTGATATGTTGCAATACATGGTTATGGTTCACTAAAAAAATATTCAACAAATGTCCGATAAAAATA